TGGGAGGGAGAGGGGCAATGGGGGTGTATATGTGTCAAATGTAGTTTCTGCCCTTGAGAAACTTTGAGTCCAATTAGGGAGAAGAGGAAGACATGCGAAACAATTAGAGAACATGACAAGACAGTGGAGAATTAAATGTTATTTTGTCAGGTCACATAACCTTTCAAAAAACCTCAGTTACCCTATCTGGAAAATGGGAACAATAGTACTTATACCATCTGCACCATATGGTTGTTGGGAGGAAGTGGCCATAAAATATTACATAAGTATGAGTTATTTTATTAATAATAAATGTTGGGAGTGGCAATGTGGCATAGTGGATGGAGCTGGCCTTAGTGCCAGGAAGACTTGAGTTCAAGTTCCACTTTTAACATGCTGACTATATGACTCTGGCTACGTTACTTGACCCTCAGTACTCTAGGCAACTCTTTATGGCTTTCAAGTTGCAGAGAAGATGCTGACCTGCGTTGGTAGAAGAACTTTCCTCATCTTGGAATTTCCTGTACCAAGGGAAGAAGGGAGAGAGGAAGGAAGGAAGGAAGGAAGGGAGGGGAGTAGGGAGGGAAGAATGAATATCTTCTGAAGTCATAACATCCATTTTATTTCCCTTACTACAGATAGTAATGAAATATTAGCTACATTGTTTTCCATGCACAGTGATGAAAAAGGTGACCTAGAAAGACATCCTCCAGGTAGAAGAGAATTAATCACATGAAGATTTTACCCAGACTGCCATTATTTTAATCATAGCTTTCATCCATTTCTATGTCCATAAAGCAATTAATTTTTCTTGAGAAAAGAAAGGACTTATAATGCCCCAGTGCATTTTTTAAAGCTCTGACTGCTTTTCTCCTGAAAAATAAAAATAATCTTTCAAATGTTTCCTTTTGGAAACAAGACATAATATTTAGGTTGATCTGGTACCACCATAGTTTCCTACTTTAAGCTAAGCAAAATTAATTCAAGAATTCTTTTAGTCATGCTTTCCTTCTCTCTGGTCTTTTATAAAGACATTAATAATAACAACCGGCATGTCTGTAGTGCTTTAAAGGTTACAAAGTGCTGTACATATTTTGTCTCACTTTGGGTTCATGCATTCCCCTCTTTACTGAGTTCTGCTTTGCCTCACGTGTGACAGACAGCATCTCAGTAGTCTTTCAGTCACATGAGCATTGCAGAGTCTTCATAGTTATCTTAGCTCAGATGTCTCTAGAACTATGTGACCATGGGCAAATTCTTTTATCTCTCCAAGTCTCAATTTCATCATCTGTATGATGAAGATAATATTTGTACTGCTTACTTGACAGTTGTTGTGAGAAAAGCAGCTTGTAAACCTTAAGATAAGATAGTAATTTGGGTAGTTCTTATTATTTGGCATTGAATAACCTTTATATTGTAAAAGCATAGATCTTGTCTCACAGGCATCAAACCAGAAGAATGCCACTGTTAAGAATGGGAAAGTTTACAGGCTTCTATGTGGTGATTCCTTAAAGTTTTATACATACTCTCACATCCTCGGCTTATTTCTCCATCTCTAAGACTTATAGCATTATTGACTGGATCACATGTTTGAGAGCGAGTAGTTGCAGGCTACAGAAACATTCGTCGACTTTTATTCTTTTACTACCCTTCAGTTCTTACTATACCCTCACATCACTCAATATCTTTCCTATGCTGAATTTACAACATTTGAGGGATCCAGAATTTATGTCCCTGATTATCTTTTTAAATAGCCTTCTCAGACAAAGTCTTGAATACATTTTGTCTAAAAGGAAAGCCCATAGTCACGGAGAATAACAGCATACCAGAGATGATAGAACAAAAAATGACCAATAGGGAATAGATATCCATGGTAAATAAGAAGGTGCTAAGAGAGCACCTAGCTTTCTTGATGAATTCAGGTCACATGGCCTAAATGAACTACATCATAAGATAGTGAAAGAACTAGCAAATGTAATTGGTGAGACACTTGTCAGTGGTACTTGAAAGAGCAAGAGAGGTACCACAGGATTAGAGAAGGGCAAATGTCCAAATTTTTAAAAAGTGGAAGAGATCAGTCTGCGAGTGATAGGCCAGTAAGCTTATCTTTGATTCCTGAGAAAATCCCTAATTGTATCATTAAAGAGATGGATTCTCAACATCTCATAATGGAAATGGTGATTTTAAAGAGCCAGCATGTTTTCATCAAAACAGGTCATGCCAGACTAACATCCTTTCTTTTTTGGCAAGATCACTAAACTAGATGTGGAAATGACTGCAAATACAGTTTTTTACTATATTTTAGAATTTTTTATGAAGTATTACATATTATTTTTGTGGAGAAGATGGAGAACTATGGATTGATTACACAATTATACAAACAGGTGGATTTAGAGCTGGCAAGGGGAAGGGGACAGACTCAAAAAGTAATCGTTCATGATTCAGTGTCAGCAAACCACGAAGTCTGCAGTGGAGTATCCCAGGGATCTATATTTGGCCTTCTGTTGCTTAACTTTTTAATCAGTGACATGGTTAAAGACATAAGTAGATAGATAGATGTATAGATTGATAGATGACATGCTTGTCAGATTTATAGGTGATGCAGAGCTTAGTGGGATAGCTGACACATGTAGTCTTGACAGACTAGAACTTTGGGCTAAATCTAATAACATGAAATTCGATAGGGATACCTTTAGAATCTTAAATTTGGGTACAAAAAAATCAGCTTTACAAGTTCAATGTAAGGGTGGCATACCTACACAGTAGTTATTCTGAATAAGATCTGGGAGTTTTAGGCAATAGTTAGCAGTGTAACATTGCAGCCAAAAAGCTCATGTGTTGTTGGACTGTATTCAGAGAGGTATAGCATTTAAAAGTACAGAGGTAATAGTTCAATTGTACTCTGTCTTTCACCACACCACATCTGGAGTGTTGTGTTCAGTTCTGGCATCACAACTTGAGAAGAATATTAAATATTATTTTAAAAAAGAAATTTGCACATTAACCGTGTTGCATATTTAAAAGGAATAATAAGTTGTACATAGTAGATTTGCAGTTTCATGTGCAATCATCTTTTTTATTATATTGTGTTATGGAAATGCTTGCTTTAGTCTATAAATTAAAAATAAAATAAATTTTAAAAAGAAAGAAATTATATAAATATATTATTGGAAAGTGTCCAGGAAAGAGCAACCAGGATGGTGAAGGTCATTAAGTCCAGGATGTATAACGATGGGCTGAAGGAACTAGGTATATGTAGCCTGGAGAAGAGAAGACTCAGGAGAGACATGTTAGCTGTCAATCAAGTGTTTGAAAGATTATTTGACCCCAAAGGGCAGAACCAAGAAGCAATGGATAGAAGTTGCAGAGTCCAGCTTAAGCTTGAGGTCAGGAAAACTTTGTAACAATTAGAGCTATCCCAAAGTGGGATGGGCTTCCTGGATAGGCAATTGGTTTCCCCTCCTTGGAGTTCTTCAAGCAGAGGCTGAATGAACAGTCAGTTACCAAGCATTGTAATGGAGTTGATAAAAAAAATAATAATTAGATACATAAAAAGTGTGGGTGTGTGTGTGTGTGTGTGTGTGTGTGTGTGTGTGTGTGTGTAGAAGGCCCTAGCAGCTAGGGTGCTGACAGAGGCCTCTTGAAGAAAATGGGATGTGAGCTGAGTCATGAAGAAGCCAGAGAAACCAGGAGGGAGGCAGAAGTTAGGAGGAGACCATTCCAGGCATGAGGGGAAGCCAGGGCAAAGGCAATGCAGTGGGAAATGGAATGTCACATGTGAGAAATGGCAAGCAAGCCAGTGTAGCTAGATCAGAGAGTATGTGTATGATATGGGAGTAAAGTATGAGAAGACTGGAAAAGTAGGAAGGGACTTCTTGTCATATAGGTCATATACAGTAGGAATTCCCTTCATGAATAGATTGGGCTAAATGGCCATAGAGGTCCCTTCCAACTCTCAAAATTCTGTGATTCTGAGGAATTTAGTAGGTGCTTAATAAATGCTTTTTGATTGATTGATTGAGAGACACAGGGAGCATGGTACTTTTATTTAATATGGCAAAGGAAGGTGGAGTCCAAGGAACATAACAGCGGGTGCTTTCCAGTTTGGATAAGCTTCAGTGTATGGAGTTTGGACAATTTAATCTTCTCGTATCTTGATTGTATATTTTGGAAACTGGGCTGATTATCATATCTGACCTCACTGAGGGCTTGTGAGTTAGCCTGAATCAATTATTATAAAGCTTCCTTTCCCTTCCCTCCCTCCCCCACCACCCTAGAATAATAAGCATTATGGGTATGGTTGGTAATAATAAGTACATTTAGCAGACTAGCAAAGATCACTTAGCAATAGGCTTCTTCGAGGGCAGGGGTTTTAAGCTTGGGAGTCTACAATCTTTCAAGGATTGATTTCATACCCCCAGGTAGATTTTTAGGGGTCTGTGAACTTGGATAGAAAAAATGCATCTTTATTTTCAGTAACTTTACTGATATTTAGCATTTTCTTCAGTTATGAATTTTTTAAAAAGTTATTCTGAGAAGGGATCTATAGGCTATACATGACTGCCAAAAGAAGAGTCCATGACACAGAAAAGGTTAAGAACCCCTGCTCTAAGGTCTCTCCCTGCTTCTAGATACTCAACGTACTATTAACAACAATTCATATTTGTATGGCATTTATAGTTTTACAAAGTGCTTCTGTCACAGCAACCCCATGAAGTTGGTAGTACAAGTATTATTATCCCCATTTTATAGATGAAGAAACTGAGATTTGAAGAGGTTAAATGATTTGCTTGTGGTCATATAGCTAGTAAGTAAGATTCTGGGCCAAGTTCAGAGATCCTTTCACAACACCATGCTGTTTCTCCTATTGAGACATTAAGATACGAACATTAAGGTATGAAGCAGTGTCCTTGTATTCTATGTCTGGGTGAATTTTAAGAAAGTGAACATTTTTAAGACAGCGTCTGGGAGGGAACAAAGGAGAGTTTTGTTAAAGGGTTCGTATTTTTTCTCTTTCTCAGCTGAACTGGAGTTTGTCCAGATCATTATCATCATTGTTGTAATCACGGTGATGGTCGTGGTGATCATTTGTTTATTGAATCACTACAAGCTCTCAACACGGTCCTTCATCAATCGGCAGAGTCAAAACAGGAGGCAAGAAGATACTTTGCAGCCGGTAAGTCCAGGCTTCTGGATCCATTTTAATCATATATGCATACAATGTGTTTGGGGAGGGGGGCTGTTTTTAGGACTTTAAAATAGTAAAATATCAGTCGAGGCGGTCATCCAATTTCAGCGTTCTATGTCTATTACACTTTTGTTATCTGTAGTCTATTTTGTTATGTTAAGTTCTGTGATGTTTCCAAAGAATAAATACAAGGTTTGTTTGATGGAAATAAGGATGTTGAGATTGGATGAGATACTGGAGAAGCTCCCTTCCCTTTCTGAAATTCTGTGATTCTGTCACACTAGATAGGTCTAAAATGTTACTGCTTGGATTAATAAAGCCTAAGTGTTTCAAGCAATAACATAAGGACATTTATTTCAAGGATGAAGCTAGAATTGGAGACAAATGCCCAGGGTGCCTCCGTCAGGCAGGGTACATCCTCGGGACCCTAAGGGGAAGTTAAAGGGTAGACCATAGCCAATGTCAACAAGTTACTCTTTTGAGTTTCCAGTTGCCTTCTGTGGAAGGCATTGGAGCATTCACCTTCCTTTCCACATTAAGCTGTTAGCATTGTGAAGGATCAAATGGCAATATAATAAAGCACATGATAAACATGTGTGTTTTTTTTAAAAGCCTATAGACAGTCTTTGAAATAAGCAAATATTACTTTGCCAATCAGTTGTAAACTGATATTCTTGGATTTTTCAAATGTACCCAAAAGTAACTTACCTATGGATTGAACCTCTGATACAACTAAGAACCAAGAGTAGAATCAAAAGGAACTTAACCAGTAGTATACCAACAAAGAAGCATCAATGGCTCAATCGTATGGATTTGTCTGTGGAAACAGAGGGTTTTATGTCAGATCAGCTCATTGTTATGAGAAGTTACAAAAGGATTATCTTTAAGGAACCTAGATTTAGTAATCAATGTTTATTATGCAAGGAAGTAGGGTCTCCTATGCAATACATCATTACAGTCTTTAAAAATATAATTCCTACCGAATGCTTAGTAAGACATGACCTGGTGGTAAGAATAATATATCAGATATTTGCTGTCATTTATATAGTCTTCTAATGTTTTCAAAGTGTTTTACATATATTACTTTATTTGAGCCTCACAATATCCCTTTGAGTAGATACTATTATCCCCATTTTACAGACAGGAAAACTGAAGCCTAAAGAAGATAAACATAGGGGACACATGATAGGTATCTTCAGATATCTGAAGGATTTTCATATAAGAGTGAATAAGTATAGTTTTATTATTTGTGGTTTGAAGGGTACAAATAGTGCCAATGATTCCAATTTTTAGGGAGGAACAATAAAGCAAAACTTCATAATTATCCAAAATAGAGATAGGCTGCTTTTGTAAGGCACCAATTTCCCTGTCACATAACTATTAAAGCAGAATAAATGTCCACTTAGCATGGACATCTTAGAGGGGATTCATTCATCATGCAAAGAGTTGAGCTCTTTGATCAATAAAGACCCTTTCAGCTCTAAGACAAAGCAGTCTTGACCTCTAGGAGTTTACATTCTACTTTACCCATGAATTTTGACTCCTACCTCCATCACACAGCTTGTTGTAGGAAAATTAGGGGAGGATCATCATGGTTCATCTATCTGTATTCTACATTACCCAAAGAATGTTTATGAAAACTCCTATTTCATGTATTATTAGTAACAGATTCTTAAAAGTTCATTTCTATTCCGAGCTTCTTTAACTGTTGTAGAAGAACAGTTTTGAGATGTTCTTTCTGAAAACGAATGGATGGTTTTTAAAAGCTCCTATCTAGAGAGATGTCTCATAGTCGGACTTGCATTTCTCCTACTTCTTTGACACAACTGACACCCAGGAAATCTGACTGCTCTGGACCTTGTCTTGGGTAAAAATATTATCAAAATGATGGTTTTTCATTTGAAATATCATCATGTTGTGTATGTAGCCATCTACTTGGTCTTTTTCATCAAGAAAACCTGGATTCAAATCCCATCTCAGATGTTTGTGATCTTGGACAAGTCACTTACCCTATTGTGCCTCAGTTTCCTCATATGTGACATAAAGGAATTATACTCAAAGACTTCTAAGATGCCAGCTCTAAATCTATGCTCCTATGATCTTCAAAGTGTTTTGTGGTCTCTGAAATACCATGTCAATGCAGACTATTATTGTTTTCCCTCCATCAAAGTCTTCTTCCAATGCCTTTCCACATCCGTGGGTTCTCAAAGGCTGTACAAGTGGAGCACAAACTTTGATATATCCTACCAACCCAGTGAACCTTGATGGAGAAGTCCAATAACAGACATTGTTACCAAAAGACTAGCCCAGCTAAGTATAATCAGTGAATTTTTTTTCTGTCATAGAATCACTTAATGAAGAGAGAGGGTGGAGAGTATACATTGTAGAGTTCCTCCTAGATCTTCCATTTAAGGAGGAAACCCAAGGTAGTCATGTCATAATTTCCCACTCAGGATTTTATCATGCCCCTGGTCAGGCCCCCTTCTCCCCAACCCCCGTCAAGTCCCTACCTCCTGCCCACCCTTTTCAGTTTCTTTTTATGTGTTGACTCTCCCCATTAGATTGTGAGCTGCTTGAGGATGGGAATAGTCGTTTGCCTTTCTTTGTATCCCCAGTGCTTAGCACAGTTCCTGGCACATAGTAGGTACTTATTAAATGTTTATATTGCTTGACTGAAAACTATTTATTAGGTAAAGCCTGGACTGAGTATACTTTGCCCTACTGAAGGGAGTATCTATGCCAATGAAATAATGGGTTTTTGAATTATTGAAGGGTAGTATGATTTCTTGGCATCGTTATATGAAGCCATATAGCTCTTTGTCTCTGTCATGGTCATCAACAAACAATTGTTGAGTACCTGCAGATTAAATGCGCTGAACAGAGTGCTGTAAGGCTCCTGCAAGTTTGGTTAGAGTTCAGTGGTTCTCAGACTTTTTGGTTTCAGGACCCCTATACACACTTTAAAATTATTGACAACACCCAAAACCCTTTTGTTTATGTGGGTTATGTATATTGACATTTGCCATCTTAGAAATTAAACATTTAAAAATGTTTTTAATTCATTTTAAGCAACCATAATAAATCTATTATATGTGAAAATATTTTATGAGAAATGTTTTATTTTCCAAAACAAAAAAAAAATAGTGAAAAGAATGGCATTGTTTTCTGTATTTTTGCAAATCTGATGACTAGCTTTATAGAAGGCATCTAGAGTCTCATATCTGATTCTCCATTCATTCTGTTATTTTGCAAATGTTATTTTGGTTGAAGTATATGAAGAAAATCCAGCCTCACACATAATGTAGTTGGAAAAAGGAAGAGTATTTTAACAAACAATGTCTTAGTATTATTATGAGAATAGTTTTGATCTTGTCAACCTCCTGAAATGGTCTCAGGGATCCCCAAGGGTCCTTGGACCACACTTTGAGAATTATGGTTTTGTGAAGAAATGAGACACACAAGCACATCTTAAGTATATTCACACTAATGGAGAAGCTCAGTAGATGGATAATTTTTTAAATGTTATTATGGTTATATATTGGTACACCAATTCTTTCAGAAATTATTTGTATTTCAAACAGACACCAAAGCCACATTATGGAGATCACTCACAGAAATCACTCACAGAGTATTATGTGACAACCCTCATTCTACCTTCCTGATCAAATTTCTTCCCTACTTAAAATTGAGAAAGTCTAAGAAGTAATGTTTTTGCATACAAAATAATAGCCTAAATTAAGTTATATAGTTCATAACATCCCTGAGTTTAGGAATGTACTTAAACATTTTAGTTTCGAAGGTCATGTTCTGGACCACATTCTACATGGCAAGAAAAGACAATTAGTTAATGAATTTTGCCAAATAAGCCTTTATCATATCTCCTCTTCAATTTGTTTGAAAAGACTGTATTTGTATAATTGTGTAAGAACATAGTGAACTGGAGATGCAGGCTTTCTGTAGTATCTATGAGTATCCTATGCATTTTATTTACAAGGTCATAGAGTTAGAATTGGAAGGAACCTTAAAGATTATATAATCTGGGGAAACAGGACCCAAGAGGTAAAATAATTTGACCGAAATAGTAAGTGTTCGAGCCAGGATATAGTGCTATGTCCTTTGACTCCAAAACATTTGACTTTTTCCATTGCTTCATATGTCACCATTGTCTTTTTTGAGTGACACCAAAGGCTGGCCCTGAGCTAATGATTTCTCTCCATCAGCAAAATTGAATACAGCTGGCCTCCAGATTAGGAATGGGTCTTATTCCCAGTTTGTTTGGGAAAAAAAAAACAATTCCATTAGAAACAGTATTGTAAATGGTTTTAACATTCCCTAGCTAGATCATAAAAGCCTATGAGGTTAGCAAACATTTAAGTGCCTACATGGTTCTAGGCACTGGGGATACAGTCAGAAAGGGAACGTTCTAGCAAGGTGAACAAAAAAATACATATATAAAGATGGGCAAAATTAATACAAGGTGATTTGGGGAGAGTGGAGGATGCACTAGCAGCTGGGAGAATCAAGAAAATCTTCATGTGGAAGGTGGTATTTGAACTGAGCTTGGAGTGCCTGGTAGATGGAGTGTCCTTTATGAGGAGCAGTAAGGCATTCCAAGGGAATACAAAGATGAAAATGAAAGACCCTGCCCTAGAGGAGCTATATAGGCTGGATATAGGGAAATTGGACTGGAGAGTGCATGTAGGGGAGTTGTAATAAAACTGGAAAGGAAAATGGGAGTCAGATCGTAAAGCGCTTTAAATACCAAACATAAGGGTTTATCTTCAATCCAGAGATAATAGGGAGCCAAAGAAGTTTATTGAATAGGATTTATTAAATAACAAATACTTAGCTCAGTAGTAGGCCATGAATTCCAAGGGGAAAGAGGATAAAACAAGATAAGGCTTCCTTTTATGAGCACACGGCTATCCCTAGGCAAAGTTTTGAGGAGGTAAAGGTGGTCTTTTAGTGGTCTTCCATTCCATGTCTTG